ATTTAATACCTAATAAATAAATATCTCGTAATTGCTGTTGCCATCCACAAAAATCCAGATATTTATAGATGTTTCCAGTATATTCGAGAAATTAATTATAAAGCTTATAAAAGCCGAGAACAAACAACTCATCTCAGTAGTAGCTGTAGTTCTAGCGAACTGTTTGTTTACTTAATGCTGTGATTGATTTGTAGCGATTTCGCTGTGAGATAGAATTAGTTTCTCTGTTTTGAATTGATTTTTGCTAAACGTTTGACATTTTGTGATATTGTTATAATGTGATATTGTTTGTGATATTGTTGTGATATTGTTAGAATATTTTTGAAGAAATATTTCGGCATTTTGATTTATCTCTTCTGGAAAGAATAAATTTTTGTTAACTTTTTAACGTTAACCGTGTTTATTCCAGCCGTTTGTATTCAGTATGTCTATATCAAACCAAGTGGTAGTAAAATTAAACGAAAAGTCGCTGACGAACATAGAATATTCCAAGTAAAAAAATGGGAATTAGAATATTTTTGCTGTGAAATAAAAGATAAAATAATCTGCTTGATATGTAATAATACTATTAATGTACCAAAGTTATATAATATTAAACGTCATTACGAACAACACAAATCGAAATATAACAATTACGAAGGATTAATGAGAGAAGAAAAGTTGAAAGATCTCAAGTTAGGAGTGAAAAAGCAACAGTCCATGTTTAGTAAAGTATTGCAAGAAAGTGAAGCGGCGGTACATGCAAGCTACGTCTTGTCCGAGTTGATAGCTAAGCATTCGAAGCCTTTTACTGACGGTGATTTCATCAAGGAATGCCTAATGAAAGCTGGAGAAATTGTTTGTCCTGGAAATGTGAAGGCTTTTCAATCAATTTCGTTGTCTCGAAATACAGTTGCGGAAAGAGTTACTGATTTAGCCGCGAATTTAAGTGATCAGATCAAAGCAAAATCATCTAGTTTCGAAAGTTTCTCCATTGCCATTGCCTGTGACGAGAGCACGGCCATTAGTGGCAAAGCTCAATTAGCAGTGTTTCTTCGTTTTCTTGTGACAAGAATTTTAACATTTTTGAGGAATTACTGGAACTAATACCGATGCCTGGTACTACCACAGGAGAAGGTATATTTACTTGTTTTTTTGGACTTCTGCAGAAATACAATCTACCTTTGGCAAAATTAAATTCTGTAGCTACAGATGGCGCTCCATCAATGACCGGGAAAAACAAGGGCTTCGTAGCATTACTAAGAAAAAAACTTAGTGAAATTCACGGTTCAAACATTCATCATATGCATTGTATTATACATTAAGAAGTTCTATGCGCGAAAGTAATAAATATGGAGAATGTTTTGTCATATATAAAAAAAGTTATAAATTTTATAAGATCTCGAGGTTTAAAAATCAGCGTCAATTCACTGCTTTCTTAAGTGAGTTAGATAGTGAATATTCGGGTTTGTCCTACTATACCGAGGTACGTTGGTTATCTTGCTCCAAGATTCTCACACAATTCTGAAGGATTTGAAAGAAGAAATAGAAGAAATATGTCCAGTTTTTAAAAACGAAAAATCAAGACGTAAGTTTGTTTTACGATCCAATATGGATACAAGATTTATCTTTCTTGGTTGATATAACCAAAACACTTAACCGATTTAAATTTATCGTTACAAGGAGAAGATCATATCATTACGAACATGTTTGACATAATTAAAGCATTCAAATGTCAACTAGTTCTTTGGGAAAAACAACTTAAAAATGAAGATTTGACGCACTTCCCGACGTGCAGCATGAATAAATCAAGTTTAGATGATACTTGTTCGTATCAAAATACGCAGAAAAAATTGCAAATTTAACAACTGAATTTGAAACGAGGTTTGATGATTTTAGTTCCCTCGAAGACAAATTTTTTTTTGTTTTCTTCGATTTTCTCAATAAGTATTGACTCAGTACCTAGCCATATGCAAATTGAGGTGATCGAGATTCAATGCAACTCAAATTTGAAAGCAAAATTCATTGAAGTGGGCGTGCCTGAATTTTACAAAATATTTACCAGCCAGGTTTGAAAAAAATACTCGAAAATTCGCATATGAAAATTATTTCCATGTTTGGTAGTACTTATCTTATCGGTGCGAGCAGTTTTTTTTCAGTCATGAAAGGTAATAAGTCTCCTATTAGAAACCGTATTAATGATGTTCACCTTGGGTCAGCGTTGAAAGTTATCACTGCAAACAAAAATTTCTCCCGAAATAGGAAAAAAGATAATAGCAGAGAAGAGAGATGTCAAGTATCAGGACGTAAACATTAAATTTTTTTTTGTTCTTTTCTATATAAATATATATATATATGTTTATTATTGTATTATTCGAAATAAAATCTACGTTTCTATGAATATTGATTTTTTTTTTTTTTTTTTTTTTTTCCTTTCTTTTTTCTTTTCTTTTTTTTTTTTTTTTTTCGGCCCGCCTAAAGTTAAACCTTGTTTGTTTGGCTCAAGTGTACCTATGAGTTTGACATCCCTGCTTTACTGAATGATCAAAGCCATCCGTTATTGTGAACCATTTTAAGCTTTCCTTTAGAAATACAAAAGATTACATGTACAGGTTTTTTACACATCTACAACTATTCTTTTTTAATCACTGTCATTTAACATAAATGTAAAATCAATCAATATTTAGTCATTCCTTCGTGTAGCATGTCAAAAAAAATTTCTCTTAAGTCAAATGTTCATGGCTGAAGTTGCTATGTGTATTTCTTTAATTTAAGCTGTGGAAGTTAAAAACACGGCGATCATCTATTTATGTGAAAACAAAGTTATGGGAAAATACTTGATCTCTAATACATGAGATTAAATTTAAAAAGTTGTGTTTTGTCTAAAATAATGATGTCTTGCAAAATCTTTTCCATAATATGTGACGATTTTCTCTAGAAGGACAAGCTTTCTTTACTGCTTAGACCTATGAATCTTGGGCATAAGGCTCAGATTTTATGATAAATTCTCGCTGACTAAATAATGTAGTACTTTGATAAAGAAATTAAAATAAGATTAGCTTTTATTATTTCGGTAATTCTAAATATTGTTTTAATTGGACTAATCCAAGTTTTATTCAAAATCATCTAATGAGTCGAAAAGGCCCTTCAGATTGCTGACGTAGTTTTCGAAAAGGAAACTGTATTTGATATGTTAATCAAGTTAAAATATCATTGCAACTGTCTAGATAACATTCAGTCTAAAACTGATACTATTTTAGAAGAAATTTATATGCATTTTAAATAATAAATAATTCAGATCATTCTTCTTTATTATTTTTATTATGTGTCATTTGCCAACGACAACTTCACCATTCGCCAATAATATATATTCAAAAACAATAAAATAAACTAAACAAACATAAAAAAAAAACTTTCGTGCTTTTTTTCTTATTAGTACTTAGTTTTTATTCTTAATTACTGTTATTTTTTTAATTCAAATTTGTAATTTCTAGAAAAGTTACGGGTTACATTTCCGAAACTCAGATGTTACGCTGTATAGTATTTTAATAATTTATGTAACAAAATATGGAAATTTTAACTCAGCTCTTCGTTGCTGCTTTTAGTTTCATTGCGTTGAGCAAAGTAATATATATTACGTAAAGCATGAGCACACAAGAAAATCAAACTTGTTAAATTTCCAGCAAACCAGTATAAGCGACCAGTATTATTCCGCTATTATTATATTTACTATTAAATTAGTTTGTGTTTTATAAACCCCTATCAAGAATACGCTTATTATAACTTATTAAAATAGACCATTGATTTTCTAATTTTTATCTGACTTATTGCTTAAGTAATGTTATTCTTTATATGCAATTGCATGTAATTCATGTTAACTGAATGCGGTACTATTCGGTTCGCGCGAATTAATTGAAAGTTTTTAACTTGCCGGTTTTATGCATCTACATAATCATAAGTAAATTTATTTAAGTAATGCAAATATTTTGAAATGCTATTTTTTAAGTGAATTCACAAGCATTTTGCATATTTCTGAGCATTTAACTTGAAATCTAAAGAATATTTATGAAAATGTTATCTATTTAAACATAGTATTGGGAAATTTTAACATGCTGCTTATTTATTTAGTGAAGAATGTTCGCGTCAGTTTGTCGTATGTCTAAACACTTTCTTGGCGATAAAACGTAGATGTCTAAAACGAAGAAGAGCAACCCTCTTAAACTCCTACTGAGAGTTGTCATTTAGAGATTTCCAGAAATAAGGGCGGCGGGAGACATCTGCGCGGCCGATTTCGAGGTCTTTTCCACTGACCGCCTAGAACTGTCAGTAACACTTTCCAACACTTTCCCAGTGACCGCCTAGAAGCAACGCTTTCGAGGTAGGCCTTCTTGACCGCCTAAACCCGGTAATAACGCTCAGAGGGTTAACAACCCTAACTATTGCTGAGTTAGGGTTTACAACCAGAGTCGTAGCTAGGGTTTTCAGCGCCCAGGGACAGCTGAAGATTTCGCGCCCCCTACTGCTTGCCAAGGAGGGAAAACATTTAATTCTAAAATGTTGTAACATCATTTTGCCGCCCCTTGGATTCTGCGTCCGGGGACAGATGCCCCCTTGCCCCCCCCTCTGTAGCTACGCACCTGTTTACAACCTTCTCTTTCGCTACCGCCTGCCTTATGCAAATTGCCATAAAATGCTGATACCTGAGCTGATTGTGCTCATGCGTGAACGTAGGTGGTGAATAGCTAAGTCGGTGCGATTAGCCACTGCGGTTGATGGTGGTAACCAATCAACTTAGGTGGTGATTTCACGTGATTGGTTCCGTTCCAAAAACTTTTATTTTTGGAATGGTAAGATTATGTATTTGTCTCAGAATTGTCATGTGACCCATAGAAATGATTATAAAATTATAACCTATGTGATGGGGCTAATTGCAACTTTATTGGCAGACATTTTAGTTGCGATATATTATTTTCCATATTATGCCACCTATACAGCCATCCCATTCGCCGGGTGACATTTCATTCCCTTTGTACAAAGACAGAGGTGTAAGGTGCACCAAATGATTAGCGGTGTATTTTGGCTTAATCATCACAAAAAGCGTGCATTTTTTATATTATACGTAAGTACAGTGCTTTATTTAAAATGAGAGCTATTGAAAATCTATGATTTATCGAAGAATTTTATATATTCCTTTATACGATTATCTTTTCTTTTACTTACATAATGATTTATTTTTTTGCCTGCATTGTATTGCATGCGTTCTGTAAATAATTTACTATGTAACCTTGTCAGACCATCTAAAAGTATTATGGTGAATACGTAAAGAAAACTTCGTGTTTTTATATTTAATATATTTTCTTTCTTTCAGATATATCTTGCCGAAAAATTGTATTATGCTCTGGATAGAATAAGTCTTCTATTTCATCATGTTCTTGTACAACCTTACTCTTCAGCGTGCTACAGCCATAACTCATGCAGTGCATGGGAATTTTGCTGGGACGAAGCAGCAAGAAATTGCTGTTTCTAGAGGAAAGATTTTGGAACTTCTACGACCGGATCCTAATACCGGCAAAGTTCATACTTTGTTAACAGTAGAAATATTCGGGGTAATTCGATCTATGATGGGATTTCGGTTAACCGGTGGATCGAAAGGTAATAAATACGAAAATTAACTTTTTTTTAATACACGTTATTGAAGTACTTTCCTCTGATTAAATTGTAGTTTTGTATTGAGTATTATTATATATATATATGTAATGATGTACTTTTGGTGGGAGATAAAAACTATCGCATTCTAGTCGTGGCCGAAAATACTGCTGTTTAGATGATTGGAAATTGCGCCATAGTGGAATGATCCATTGGAATTTTAGGTAAAATCCTAGTATACAGTGCAGCCTTGGCGCGTTTTTGAAAATTATCGCCAACACCAAAAATGATCCAAAGAACGTCTATATACTATACACTATGTGTGTATATACATAATATATACTATATATAACTATATATATTCTTTAAATGACCCGTTTACTACTCATCGTTTATGTCCCGTTACTGCTCATCATAAAAGTTGCCAAAAGCAGCCAAATCCCGTGTGCACCGGATACTAGGATTAAACCGAATTTTAGAAGAAGCACGACAAGCTTGATAGTTAATCATCATTTATTTCTGGATGACGAATTTCTTAGCACATATCATCATAACTAATAGAAGAGTAGGGGTGCTAAACATGCCCCATAATTTTAGATACACTATTACATTTTAAATAATGACGAATAGCTAGCAGATGCTGAGCGACACACTGTCAGTAGGCAGGCGAAGAAGTAAAAGAGAGAGACTATGCAGTTAGTTTCATACTAGATAGGTTCATAAGTACAGCTAATCTGTGATTGATTAATTTGGGCTTTTATTTTCATTTTTCAAGCAGTGTTATGTAACATGGAAAGATCTCAAATTTGGAAGAACGTCAAATTTAGAATAGTTAATTTTGAAGTCGCCACTCATTTCTTAGCGCAGTCATCATATTTTGTTATATCTTACTATATATATACTGTTCAAGTCAACCTTTGTCACTGTGTCTGACAACTCATTAAATTACTTTATTGGTTCTATTGTAGATTACCTAGTGATTGGATCTGACTCTGGAAGAATTGTAATTCTAGAGTATAATGCACAGAAGAACATTTTTGAAAAGGTATTTTATTTTTTCAATATTAAAGTTCATCATAAATTAGATCAGAAATATGTCAGATTTACTCGTATATATTGCATGCAGTATTTTTAATGTATACTTTTTTGCTTGGTATTTTAATTAAATCAACCATCACATATGCTTTAGTGGCATTTGAAATTATCACGAATATTTAAAAAATACTATGGCAACCTTCCGAAAATGAAAAATAACAATATGGGAACATAATAAGTAATATTTATTTAACAGTTAGTAGTGTTTATTTGCATTTAATCCAAAATAATATTTATTTAACTTAGATATTAGAAAAATAACATTTATACGCATTTGTGAAGGCCGTAATTCAGCATTTGTTTCTGTAAAAGAATCAAATATTTTCTCTCCTCTTTCATACTCCTGTGAAATAAATTCTGCTAAATATGAAACCAAGTCTTGGGCAGCCTCTTTAGTCTTGATTCACCATTTGGCCACTGCTTCCTTTTAACTTTCAATTCTGGTGGCCATATTAACACTATTGCTCACTGTCCCCAATTTCATACCTTTTTAAGAAAACTGCTGTTTCTTTTGTAATTGATAGAAAATTAAATATGGCCAGCACTTTAGACGAAAATTAATTAGGAAGAATATGAAAGAATGAACAATGTCATGAAAAACCTAATTCTTATTTTTAAATTGATGGAAAGTTAAAAGGTACCAACATTTGAAAAGAAAATTATTAAGGAAAGAATAGTATCACATGGTCAAAGATGAGCAGAAAAATCAAAAATGTCATCAAAAACTTTATGAATATCACAAAGAATTACTGCTTCTTTTGTAACTGACTATAAAATGCTAAACATTTGAGAGAAAAAGTGATTGATCAGTGACATCATGCAGAGAACATAGCAGTCAAAATCAAATGTGTTGCAGGTTAAAAAATATGGGAATTATATTTACCAAGCTCAGTGACTAATTTCCTGATTTCAGTGATTGACCAAGGTGGCGGTTTTAATCCTGAAGTACCATTTACTTTTATAATTTTCAACTTCCTTCCAGAATGCAGAAACTGTGAGGAAAAATTCCGGGCAAGAATGGCTCGGAATTTTTCTCTTAAAATATGTAATTTATTTTCAAGCACTGAAAATTATTAAATAAAAAGAAAAAAATCTGTAACTAAATATATATTATGCTTCTAATGTTAAGTTATATCATTAAAATCTGAATAAATTCTGAAACATCATTCAGTATAAATTCTTAATATTGATTTATTATTAAATACTTTACTACTTTTATGTATTCATTTAATTAAAAAGTATTTAATGCATATTGTTAATATGGTTACTCTATATTTAGAAAATCCACACCTATGCTATGTGATTTACTGAGAGAGCAGTGGTAAAATAAGAAATTTTGGAACAGGTGCAGTAGTCTTTTGCCAACTTTTTACTTGGTGATAAAATTTTTGCCAAGACCTGTTGCATTGAAATTTGTTCATTAGAAATACTGAACACTGAAATATAATAAATAAATCAGATCAAAATCTAAAAGAGAAGAAAACATGAGGGTAATTGCAAGAACAAGTACTTATGTGTAGAAATTTTCATTATCAAACACGTTATGAATTAGAAAATAACATATAAAGTGATATAAATGAAAATAAAATTGAATTTGCTTAATTCAGTATCAATGCTATAGAGTAATCAAAGTACTTAAAAATTTATTGGTCAATTTCAGTATGTTTCAATGCGCTAAAATATTTTTTGGTACTATTCGGTTTCGAGGGCCGTAAAAAATCGCCAAACTATTGTTGATGCCAATGCTGCCAAAAATAATTGCGGCAAGAAAGGAAGTATAATAGTAAATAACTATCTAAGATTGATGTTTTAATTTAGATGAAAGGTTAGTTTCATATAATATTTTTTATTATTATAATTTTATATGAAAAAGGCTGAACATGACTGAATGGAAGCATAAGAGTAAATGACTATTTCAGATCATTATTATAATTTATATAAAAATTGCTAAACATTACCGAATGGATGCCTGCATCGCTATTTCACTACCGACTTATCGCTAAAGCATAATTTTATCTCGTTGGTTGTTCAAACGTAATTTTCTATAATGAATGATGCCTTTTCTTTGAAAATATTCTTGGTAAAGTGCAGAATTGCTCACTTATTTGTTTGCCTCTTTTTACAAGGGTAAAAACAATTGGATTTTTATCAATTTTCTTTTACTTTTTAAGTGAAAATAGGTCGCTGTGTACATAGATAAAGTCAAGGGTGTGCGCAGTGCCATTTTTGTGCAATTCTAGGATTTTTTTTTTAAGTGAAAATAGATCGATGTGGACATGGATACTGAGTATGTGCAATTCTTAAAAACGCATCAAGCAGTGGGTGATTCTGCACTTTACCCAAAAATTCTATTGCCGACTTTTCGTCATGGGGCAATCCCAAATTGTTGTTAAATCCATAGGATATCAAAAAAAATTTAAATCAAAAAAGGGTTTAAAAATTAAACTAGTATGTCAATGGCATCTTAAGAAATATAGAACTATATAAACTTACGCAATCTGAAATCAGCGCGTACGCTAGATTTGGGACGCTGTTAAATAGGCGCGTTTGCTAGATTAGGCGCTTTTGCGCATACATTTTCGCTGCAATTTTTTTACGGCCCTCAAAACCGAATAGTACCTTTTTTTTTTTTTTTTTTTTTTTTACTGTAAGTAAATTCAAACTAAAAAAATGCATCAAGGAGCAAAGCAGTAACTTTTGCTATTTAAGAGATCTTTTATTAAGTGAATGTGAAATTTTATGCTATAGTGTTTGTAACGAAAAATTTATAATAGACACATTCAATTCTAATAACGTCTTCATTAAATAACACTTTCATCAACAAAGTTAAGTATTGTTCATTTTATTTCTATTTTTAAGGTACTGATTAAAAAAAAAGCTTTAATCATAAAATATTAATCTTCTAATGAACTACTTTAAATCAAAACTAATTTTTATTGTATTGAAACATCATAATATTTCTTATAGTCATTAATAAAGAGATTAGTTCATATTTTAGACAACATAATTCAATATCATTATCAAAATAGAAGTATTTAATAATGTACTAAATGCAATTGATAATAAGAAAAATTAAATCTTTAAAAAATGAATGTTTCTGTTACATATACACCCTTAACTATTACTAAGCAGTCAGTAGCTGTACAGTAAGAGTAGCAGAACGGTAACACTGATAGTTTACTTAGAATTCAAATTCTGATGAACATATTGTCTGCATGGGAGTTTTCATGGTTTTCCTGAGCCAATTTCTATCAAAAAGTTCTACATGAAGGTATTTCTTCCCTTAATGTTATATTACTAGCATCTCATAAAATGCATTTGTTTGAAATTAAAAAGTATTTTATAAGGTAAGAAGCTAGGCAAAAGATGATCGTCACCCAATTGCAAAATAATATAGGACCTGAAGATAAAAATGGCAGTATGAAAACATCATTAAAATGGAAGGAAATGTATCTGTGGCATAGTTTACTCCTAGAAATTGCTTTGGTATTCTTCTCTTATCGGGACAGGATTCAGAAATGTATGTATGCATATGTATTATGTATATGTTTGTGGACGCACATACATATGCACACAGATATACATGTAAGATAAAAAAAATAGGAAAGCAAACTTCAAATTTTAATTGGCTCTAACCTCTTTTATTTTTTACTTAATTTGAGGACTTCATCTTTCTGTCTTAAAAATAGTGTCATAAGTCTAAACTGTGTCATTCAAATTAATCATACGATCGTACGTAACACTTAATGCAGGTACCTCTTGACCAATCACCAAATTGCAGACTGAAACTTTTGACTCCCCTTCTTTCTCTGAACTGATGCGTCACTTTTGCTTATGCTTTACTCCTGGACAGATGCTTTGCTGCAATCATCTATGTGCTGCTATAATCACTTCTATTGCCATAGTATCAAAATTGTAAATATTCTGGAAATAGGCACGATTGTATGTTAAGTGAATTTAAATAAATATGGAATCTAATCTGGCTCGACTACTTCTTCAAACTTGATAGACGTTCTAAGTATGAAGTATCTTCGCAATCAGGATATCTACGTTTCAGTGCTTCAAATATATTGTGCTATCATTACAATTTTTAGCTCGACAGGATTGGATTACATGCTACTAACCTCAATGGAACATTTATTCCTGAGTTGGATTTCTGTCAAAGAGTATCTGCAAGTTTTATCATTCATATCTGGAAAACTTCATTTGGCCAGGTCTAGCTATGAAAAAATCTACACGGCTTTGTTATTCTATGTTCACAGTGAATCATTTGAAAAGTCCTGTTTGACCAAAAATTTTAATGCAAGTTTATGCCACATTCATAATCAATTCATTCATGTCATGTCATCAAACCACAGTTTTATTACATATTTATGCATACATGAACACATTCATCCATCCATTTATGCATATATACGTACATTTCTGAATCTGGTCCTGATAACAAGAGTATCATTGCTTTAACAGATCTTTTGCATTGTTTAAATTAAAGATCATGTATGTAAATATAAACTATTTAGAAAATGCAGAAGATCACCATGAACGTTTGACATAGCGTCGTGGTATCTTAAATTTAAAAAACAAAATTGACATTAATAATGTTGATAAGTAGCAGATTTTGAATTCTTTTTAATTAGCTTACTGTTGCATCAAATAGTATTTTTCACAAGGTATGTTATTGAAATGTATCCTCAATTCTCAATTTATATCTATATTGTTGCGTTTTTCTTTTCTGACAGCAGTTGTTACGTTATTTTCTTTCTTCACGTTCGTACAGGGTTCGTGTGGATTTGGACTGAATAATGATGACACTACTTGATGCAGTATTGAAACACACTTTATTTGGCCAGTACTAATCAGGACAGCTCCAAACCACTTTTACAGTCATCGAGGAACTACTATAAACACGCTGACATGATCAGCAACACAGCCTCCAGGTTATCAGGCTTTCACGGTGGAGACAGCTTCACTGCAAAGCACCAAAGTACAGCTCCTGACTCTTCTCAGAACTCCACATACTTTCGAGACTCTCCACGCTACAACTCGTGATGCACTCGACGACACACAGAGCACGGTTCCCGACTCTTCGGTTCAGTCGTTCCTGGAGCTCAACACACTCTCTCAACGATGCACTAACAGCGATACACTAAGAGACTCCTTCGGTGAGCTTGGCGACCCAGTGGGCCCTCGCTGCCCAGCTGTCATCTCAGTCGACTCTGCAGGGATTGACTCACTAGATGAAACACCAACTCAATACTAACTAACTCGCCCTCTCGACAAGGCACACACACACACACACACACTGACTGCGGACCAACAGCGTTTATATAGCTTTCAGCTTTTGTTCGAGAACATTCTGGCTAAACTGGTAAGAATTCGTTCAAGAAGGTTCTCCAACCATCCATGGCATATCGCCAATTTTGTCATCAAATGGGTGATTTCTTGCCAAATGTGGCAACCCTGCCTTCCCTTGACCTTTTATGGCAACCCTAAAACTGCTTTGCGAGGAAGCAATCTCACCGCTCCTGTACATTTCGTAACACTGCCTTCTCCCAAGGACTGCACGTCCCGGGCAGTACAACGCTTGTTCAGAAGTCAAATTCGATACAAACAAAACATTTTAAAACTTACAGATAACACAACTAAAGAAACAAATACAGAGTTATACAAATTAATGTTCATAATATTTACACTATATACAAGTTATATGCACAAATTAGACACATCACAATTTTAAAAGAAACAAAAGCTTATACTATTTTCAAGTTATATACACAAATTAAACACATTACAATTTTAAGTTATACAAATTAATGTTCATAATGAAATTCAGTCTCAGTCTTTTCATTAAAATATACCCGGTTCAAATATCTTTCCACTGCAGTTTTCAGGTACATTTATGTTTTGCATACAGTCTGAAGATTCAGTCCTTTCAGACTTTTCATCACTGGAAGATCTAAAACAGTTCGTTCACCACTCTGTAGATCATTCACAGCAAGCATATAGTTCACCTAGGTATCTTTAGTAGATGGTACACGCTTATTTTCCAGCATTTCCTGGATACCAGCTTTGATATTTGCACCAGGATCGCGAATAGAATCCGATCCTTTACAAGCAGAAGTATCCGGGTTTAGAATCAAGTCCTTGTCTGCAAAACCTGCACTATGATGCACACACCCAGTTTGTGAAGTGGGTGAATTTTCTTGCAATACTGGAGCACATTACTTAAGCTGCACTTCAGCATCTTCCATCTCTGCATCACATGCACTTTCAGTTGGTTCAACACCTACTGCCTGCGACTTTGTAACTTCACTATCGGTTTTGACGAACTTAACAGCCGCATTTTCACTTTCTTGCACTTCCGGCATGTGCGAATCAAAAGCTTCTTTCCCGTCTTGTATTTCTTCATGTTTTCGATCTCTGTCTTTAATCTCGTTAGATATTTCATCGATCACATCTGGATCTTTCTCAGACAGTTCGCTAGCTACTTCTTTCATTTCTTCATCATTTCATTCTTCAGATGCCACTTGTCTCATTTCCACATTGTCTTTTATGCTTCCAGTTTCTTCTGTAAGCTCCACTTTCACCTGTTGGAGTTGCTTTCGCACCTTTTTTGGGCTGCCATTTATTTCTTCTCTTCCAGTCCGGCTTTCATCTCTTTCAGTCCAGCTTTGATCTCAGCTGTCATCTCTTCATCTCATCATATCCGGCTTTCATAACCAGCTTTCATCTCGGCCCTCGTCATAACATATCCGGCTTTTATTTCGGCTAAAATGTCCATCAGAGTCTTTCCTCTGCACTGGCATTCACTCACAGTCCCACTTCTGACACCAGTTGTTATGTTTTCCTTTCTTCTGATACCAGTTCGTATGGGGCTTGTAGATTTGGAGTGAATAACGACAACACTTATGAAGTATCGAAACACACTTTATTTGGCCATTATTAATCAGGACAGCTCCAAAACACTTTTACAGTCATCGATGAACTACTATAAACCTGCTGACACGATCAGCGAGACAGCCTCCAGGTTATCAGGCTATCACGGTGGAGACAGGTTCACTGCAAAGCACCAGAGTACAGCTCCCGACTGTGCTCGGTCGTTCTCAGAACTTCACGTACTCTCGAGACTCTCCACGCTACAACTCGCAATGCACTCGATGACACACTGAGCACGGCTCCCAACTCTTTGGTTCAGTCGTTCCTGGAGATCAGCATGCTCTCTCGACGATGCACTAACCGCAATACACTAAGAGACTCCTTTGGTGAACTCGACAACCCACTTGGCACTCGCTGTCCGGCTGTCAACTCGATCGTCTCCGCAGGGATTGACTTACTAGACGAGATGCCAACTCGATACTGACTAACTCGCATTCTATGTGAGGCACTCTCACTCGCCCTCTCGACAAGGCACACACACACACACACACTGACTGCGGACAGCAAGGTTTATGTAGCTTTCAGCTTGTGTTTGAGAACATTCTGGGCTAAACCGGTAAGAATTCGTTCCAGAAGGTTCTCCATCCTCCCATGGCATATTGCCAATTTTGTCATCAATTGGGCAATTTATTGCCAAATGTGACAACCCTGCCCTCCTCGCTATTTTATGGCAATCCTAAAACTGCTTTGCGGGGAAGCTATCTCACTGCGCCTGTTCATTTCATAACAATGTTATATAAGTCATTATAGTATAAGTATTAATTACAAATGCAGTATGTTTTTGTTTTTACAATTTCTTTTATTTTTGCTTACTTCCAAATGTAAGTTGGTAACTCGACAGAAATTATTTACCAGATAAGCCATGGTTTATATATGTGTAAAAATTGTAAGTTTAGGTCAGCAGCATGTCTGAAGAAAATTTAATTTTCCTCTGTCTTTTAAAACTTCACTAGTTTAGATCATAAGTTATGCAGAGGTGAAACAGTTAAAGTAGAATTCACTGCAACATTTTAGCCTGCAACGAGTGCTCAGGTTGTGCTAAGACAGTGCAGCAAGTTTGAACTCGCCTAACTGCAGTAGGGTACACTTGTAATGCATGTACTTTCTGTTGAACTCCATAATAAAGAACGTGCTTCCTTTAAATTCTTTCTCTGTGGGTTTTTGTTCATTTTGTGATGACAGTCTTCTTTTTAATAGCCACATGAACTTTTATTTCGCTAAGTTCTATGTTCATTCTTACTCGTGTCTTATTGCTTACTTGTTGCAGTGGCTGCTTTATCAGTTGCATACATTTAAATTATTATTATGATATTATGCATTTGGCAGTGGAAGTCCAAGCAAGAAGAGTTTGAGAAAATACCTAAGAATGAAAGATCCTGTCTGATTGGCATCACAGCCTGGCGTGTTTTGGAAGACAGGTTAGAGAAATTGACGATAAAGCAGAGTGAAAAGGAATTATTAGCCTGAGCAGTTAGAATTCACCTTCAAGCGAAAGTAATTGATCAACAAATGGGCATTAAAAACTTACTTAATAGGTGAATTACTTAATAGGTGCTGCAGGTTCATGAAATGAAAGATATTTTCTATCAGAACCAAAATAACAGTTGGATAAAGCTTTCCTTGTACTGGCTTGAAAAAAGATAGCTTTTTTAGAGTACACATCTAAGAGAATTAAAAGATCAAAATTTGAATAGAGGACAGATAGTATGGATGTAGTGCTCATTACCTTTAGACTCTCCTCTGAACAGAAGTGCTCATTCTACAAATGAAAATTAGCAACCGGAAATGAAAAGTCTTCATTTACTTGTGTTTTGGGTTATGCTGCTGATGGAGAGAAGTCAATAATTTTCAAAAGTAAAACAGATCCAAAAAGAAACTTCCCTAAAGGGGTCATAATTTACGGCTGCAAAAAAAGGATGGATGTGTGAAGAAATGGTGTTGTTTTGGCTGAGAGAAATTTATCAAAAAATGAATAGTGTTTTTTCCTCTCAACTTCGGTTACTCATCGGTCTGGATTCATTGCAATCCCATTCAGTGGATATGGTAAAATCTGAAGAAAACGAACTTAGCACCTGTGTTTCAGTGATACCAGGTGGGCTTGCAAAAATTTTACAGCTACTGGATCTCACTATTAACAGAATTTTCAAACACAAACTATAAAAACCAGTGGGAGGAATGAAAGCAAAGCAGATTCCGTTTATTCACAAATCCTGGACAAATGAGGAAAGCTTCATAAGAGGAGTGTACCCTTATGTCAATCAAGTATGGTACTTTTTCCAAGCAGATACAATTGTATCAGCTTTCTTGAAAGAAGTGATTTAGAAAAGAGTAGCAAAGGTGATCTTGATGTGATTTGCTAAATTTATTTAATTCTGACATAGATGAATCAATTTTTTTGAAGATTTTGTATAAATAGTTTAATTATAAAATTCTGTTTGAATATCTAATTTGGTTCTCCATGATTATTTTGAAGATTTTGTATAAATAGTTTAATTGTAAAATTCTATTTGGTTATCTAATTTATACATTATTTTTTGTAATACGGTAATTTATAGTGATAAAGTTTACTGAACCTGCAAAAATAACATTTATTAGAAATTAACAGAGTCCATTTTTGACAATTTCAGAGCAAGGTGTTTGTTTATATAGTTATGTTGTAGATGTTTATAAAATGTTATCAGTGATGATTACATCAACATAGAAGGGAATTAATAAATAAATATTAAGTGTCATGTTTCAGAGTGCTTTGCTGTGGGGTATATGGCGGGGTGATTTATCCTATGAACTTTCATGTTTTTTAGTCAATTATCATGCACATGGCATGTATGCCAGGGTGGCTTATCTACCTGAAATTGTGATAGCTTGTTTCATTAAAATATTGATTTTTTTTTTCTGCAAGCATATTAAAAAAATTTAATGTTAAAATTTTATTTAATTTTAGGTTCATCAAGAAACATTTGGCAAAAGCGGATGTCGTCGTATAGTTCCTGGCCAATATTTGGCCATTGATCCCAAAGGGCGTGCAGTTATGATCGGTAATATAGATGCTTAAAAGTTTAATTTAAGAGTGTTTTTTGTATGCATTACATTATAGAAAAATTTTTGCCCTGATACTATTGGGGGCATAATTCATTATTTATATTGATCTTCATAGTTCGAAAATGTAATAATTTCATTTTAATTCAGCTCTGAAGGTCCTAAATTATGCTTGCTCATTCTTTCACAATTATCAGGGAATCTTAGTGTGTGAAATACAATTGTATAGCATTAATTTCTATTGTAGGTGCTGTTGAAAAACAAAAACTTGTGTACATATTGAATCGAGATGCAGCTGCTCGTCTTACCATATCATCTCCTTTAGAAGCTCACAAATCCAACACCTTAGTCTATCATATGGTTGGAGTTGATGTTGGATTTGAAAATCCAATGTTTGCCTGTTTAGAGATGGACTATGAAGTAATGTTCTAATTTTTTTATTGCTTTTGCTTTATGAAAAGTTATGTTTCACTAAATCTATAATATAAAAATGAAATTTCTATGAAATCTCCCTATGACAGTCATTCTCAGTGCCAGATAGTTTGTGTCTTTTGTTGAAAGAATATCTTTAAAAAAGTGACTTTCAGTGCTACTGTTTATTTCTGTTCTCAGAAGTATGGGTCACTTTTAAAAGAGGTGTCATGAGGTGTTTCCCTGTGATTTCAAGAAACTACAACTATTCATTTATTATTTGAATATGATACATTTAAAAATGTACCATAAAAACAGTTATTGCAGTACAATTAAATAAAAACTACACAATGATACATTTGAAACTTTGATATTGATGATGTTATTTATTTTGTATTTATTCTCATTTTAACAGTCAGAAAATTCTTAATTAGATCATTAGCATATAAATTATCTATAATAACATTTTGTTTTAATATGATCAGCTAATCAGGAAGCCTTCTTTGGATGTTATTGATTACAGAAATTTTATATCAACAAAATATTTCTGTCATTCTGTGAAAGTAGCCTTCTTTTCATTAAATTCCTTTATGTTTTCATATGAGACTTTAAAACTTTCTTCAAAATTGTGCTTTTTCGTGCTACAAAGATTGGTGGCAAGCAAAACTTCAAATGTTTGCAATTGGCTGTTTCCAGAATGTATCTTTAGACTAAAATTCAAAATTTGTATTATATTATTTCTTAACACTGATTTTGATATTTTGTTTTATCCCATCGATCATAAAACTGTCATCAAGCAATATGATTTAGTGCCAGTTATGGAGAAGGATGGTATAACAGCACCCTCGTAACATCTGTGCTTTCATCTTACATAACCCGTCGATTCTTGATAAACTACCTTTTTTTATAAACAAGGATATAAATTAACTTGTTTTGCTCTATTGTTTCTCGTGTTTTGAAACAAAAAAGTAATTGAAATTTGCTATGTGCCTTCTACAGAACAGCAAGCAGTGGATTTTTTCAAAGTTACGGCATCCTACTATAAAAAAGCACATATATTAGCATACACAATATGGTCAGTTGAATGAATATGGCCAACAAAACAGTAATAGATTGAAACAGTTGAAGTTTGTACTCATAACATTCTAAGCAGCTGTAAAATTCAGAGATGCTATTAAAATTATAGAAACAGAAGAAACCTTTTTATGAAGCACAGAAACAAAGCCGGTTGAATACTGAGTGTTTATTAAAGAAGCATTAATTCCATAAGAATTCTGTAGGAATGTTTGGCACAACTTTGGTGGGATCTCTGCCAACTTTCGGGGTTTAATGGTAGCCATTTTTCACATTCATCAGGATAATATTTAAGTACCTTATTTGTATTTAATATGGTGGTGCATACTTATTATCCTGTCAACCATCAAAATTAATTATCATTAAACCATGAAACTTGGCTAAGATCCAGCCAAAGTTGTGCCAATTGGTCCTATGGAATTCTGAAGGATTTAATGCCTCTTTACTTAATAAACAGTCAGTATCCAAGCCACTTTGTAAAAAGGCTATCTTCTTCTACTATTCCAGTAAGCTTTATGATTTTAACCAAAGTTCTGTTTAGAATGCTGTGAGTACAGTCATCCTTTTGGCAATCATTTCATTCTATTACTGGTTTGTTGGCATTTTCAGCTAATCATATCATGTCCATTAACACATAACTTTTTTTGATGGTAGGATCTCATAACTTTTAAAATTATTCACTGATTGCTGATTTGCAGAAGCAAGTCCTAATTAATCATTTTTTTAATGCAAAGGGGAAATGGTACAACTGTAACAGTTAATTTGTATCTCGGTTTATAAAAACAAAAGATGGCTCATCGAGAATCGTTTGGAATCAAGCCATGCTTATCCATAATTAGTGCTGTATCACTCTGCTTGGAGGCAGTATCATATTGAACAGGATAATACACAACTACCAATATGTTAATACTTTTTGAGGTTTTAGAACAATAAAAGATTATCATTTATCTAAAGTGACTACGAGACCTATATTTTTAGTTATTTGGTATGTAAAACTGATAAAGTATATGTGTCATACCCCCCCCCCCAATTTTTTGTCTTGTTCTTTCTGGTTGTATTATTATGTATGTATCCTTTTTAATATAAGCAAATACTTTTAAAAGTATCTCATTTTGTTAATATTGTTTATAAATTTGAAGCTGTGGGAGGTAAAAACATATTTTCTTTCAGAATAGTAAATACAGTGATATTATCCAAGTTAACTAAAGAACAATTTTTTGTTACTTCAGTTCTTGTTTAAACCATAAGCTGTAAAATTGTTTCTTATGGAAAACACTATATCATGTCAGACAATTATGGAAAACACTATATCATGTCAGACAACAAAAAATTAGTTGCAGCGAGTCAAATACTGCTTACATGAATGATTTGATGTTATGCAGTCATATTTCATATGAGCAGTTTCACTTACATGAGACTTACAACAGCAGAGAGAGGGGAAACTGTTCAGTAGGTTTTTGCAACTGTAAGCCTCAAAATGCAAGAGAAATGGCAAAATCCATATCATATTAAAACTGGTAGTTCTAAAATGCACTACAGCCTTCCTGTATATATGTATAGTCATTTGCGGCCAGGGTAAGTAATTACAAAGAATGGAAGCGTTTATTGCAAAAACTTTATGTGATTCTCAGGTTAAAGGAAATCCCTCAAAATCTGAACTTGATTATCTTTTAAGCTTCCCAACTTGATGATCATAAATATGCTATTAGAGAATTCCAGCTGTCATTGCTCAAATTATTTGACTCTTCTTTGTTTCTGTACTCGCAATTCTTCTCATAAAACTTTCTTCACAGTTGCTGATAGTAGTGGTCTCAAATCGTGGTCCTCTAAGTAATTTTATGTAGCATGCAAAGACATTTTAATGATATATTTGTTCCAAATATGGTGTTTGTAGTATTAAAAGACATGAAAACATAGATAAATTTATGTGCAGGACTTATATTAAGGGAAAAAGATGAAATGATACGTGATTAAAGTGGAAGAATTTTCCACTCTGATACAGTCAATTTAGTTTGCCAGCCAACAGCTGCTGATGTTTTACTTTTCTAAAATTTCCCATTAAAATTAAAAGTAATTAGTGATTAATTCATCGTATTGAAATAATCTGAAATAAATGTCAAGATTGATATTTAGCTGTCATTGCATTTGAATTAAAAAGTATAACCAACAAAAAATTTTTTGCAACTAACCAACCTTTAGGCTTTGGGTAAAATATAATTTCGAAATATATTATATTTAGTTATTTATTTTTGTTTTATTGAAAATGTTTTTAAATTGTGTTTAAAAAAGTGTTCTGACCTGTAAGCTGCTTTCAAAATGAGCATTCAGCCCATGTGCAATTTGAAATCACTAGCTTATAGCATTCAACCTGTTCTCATGAATAGTTTGTTCCTGCTGCTGTCTTGCTTTTCAAAGTTCTATTTACCACAGTAAGACCTTAAATACTGTAATGCTTTGAAACCATTAGTGCTATCAGTAAGATAAAACTGATGATTTTTATTTCTTCTATTCTTTGGAACTCTGCATTATGCTGTATAATATCAAAGCTGTATTTCTTCATTTCTTGTTTTTGTTTTGTGGATTAATTTGAAATATCACATTACCTTACATTCATAGACACAAGAGATATTTTTTTCTCACGTGCAATGTGATTTATGCTATTTTATTTTAAAGTACAGTTTATAATGTATTATCATGCACTGACAACTAACTTTGTTATGTTATTTAATTCTGTTAAGTTTGATTGATAATGTCTTGAATAATTTATCAATCAAACTTAATAATAATTATGCATGTTACATGAATGCCTTGTTTTAAAGAGCATTTGCTATTTTCAGCAGTTTCATGTGTGCAAGGTAAAACGTAGTACTTGCAGAGGTAGAGGCATTACTGTCTTATAATATGCAATGTTAGCTTTACTAGATAATAATTTTCAGTATATTTATTGTAGTTATATTAACATATTAGTTTTAGCTTTTAGATTTAACATTTAGTATCAAATGCTTTTGTGCTTTATCTCAGATTCTGATTGTTTCCAGTCATTAATGATTGTTTCCAGTCATTAATGTTTGTAACAAATAATACTCTTATGTTAATTCAATATTTTGAATGTGTATTATTTTAGTAGATGACAAACAGTTTTAAATTCAACATCAAAATTAAAGAAATGTTTTGCATTTTTAATCATTTCTCCTGAGAATTTTTAAGGAAATAAAATTTTGTGTTAAGGGCTATTCAACCTGTTACTCTTTTTTGTTTTCTTTATTTCATTTGTCAATGCATTTCACTTAACATGTGTAGTTTTCTAAAATTAAAAAAAAAAAATATTTTTTTAATATAACAATCTCTCTCTCTCTTAATATATATTTTGGTTTGAAAGCTCATTACATTTTTATCTTTTTAAAAATAACATATGTATCTTTTGGATTTTCTTATAAATCTCTTTTTTTTTATATTTTATTTTTATTTTATTATTATTATTAAACTGATGGTATGATCACTTCCCTTTGCATTACACAAGAATCTGATTTTATACTGTTCTTGAAAAAAAAACAGGAGGCTGATAACGATCCTACTGGTGAAGCACGTGCGACAACTCAGCCGACACTTACATTTTATGAGTTAGATCTTGGTTTGAATCATGTTGTCAGAAAATATAGTGAGCCTTTAGAAGAACATGGAAATTTCCTGATTTCTGGTAATATATGATATTTTGCATGTAATATATATATATATGAATGTATTTCTCATACATAATTTGTTTTTGTTCGCCGGGGCAATCAGAATAACAAATTTTGGAATATAAGTGGTGGTTTTATTTTGCATCCTCTCACAAAGCGTTTGTTTTTTGAACCCTGACAAAGCCCAGGTTTTTCCTATGTGTGCGTCACGAGGCTCCTCAATCAGCGATATTATGAAATCACCAGGGACGCATCCTCTCATCAGGATGTCTAAAGGACTTTATGTAATATGACAGATTTATGAGTTTTGGGCGATTTGGCGGGCGCCAACAGGTTAATATATTTTGAGCTAAAGAAAGGAGTTTCGCCAAAATTTAGGACAGGATCACTTTAGGTAGAGAATCGCCAACACATTATTAAGCAAATATTATTTGAGAATTTAATTTAATCATTGATTAAAAATATCAGTACGATTATCCCCCCCCCCATCTGAAAAAGGCTGTATTGCGGCCGTCGACCCAAGACAGTCCAGGATAGTGAAAAAGCAAAATTTTCGTTGTTTAAGAAATTAAGTGAGTAGAAACTGATTGGATTTACCTCAGGCACACAACTGTTACATAAAATATGACATACAAATATTTGAATATAATTAATACAGTATATAAAATATAATAAATGATAATGAAATAATAATATAGTAACGATGTGCAGAACAAAAAAGCACTAATATATATTGCTGGTCAGCTAGCGGCAATAGGAAATGTAATATAACTGAAATTTGTAAGTTTATATCTTAGGGCCTGCCATTCACAGTTTGTGTATGCGTCCCGTACAATCTTAGAGTTTTCTTCAGGCTCAATCTTCAGTCTTTAAACTGGCTTTGGGAGATCTCTGTGATCATTTAATTAGTCGTAGAATCATGAGAGGCATGGCAACTAAAAAGAGAATCGCCAACACATTATTAAGCAATATTATTAGAATTTAATTTAATCAATTGATTTAAAAATATCATTACAGATTATCCCCCCCCATCTGAAAAGGCTTGCAGTCGCGGCCGTCGACCCAAGACAGTCCAGATAGTGAGAGCAGAAAATTTAGTTATTAGGAAATTAAGTGAGTAGGAAAACTGATTGGATTTACCTCAAGGCACACAAAATGTTTACATAAAATATGACATAAAATATTTGAATATAATTAATACAGTATATAAAATATAATAAATGATTAATGAAATTATAATATAGTAACTAAGTGCAGAACAAATAAAGCACTAATAACATATTGCTGGTTAGCTACGCGGCAATAGGAAATAGTAATATAACTGAATTTGTAAGTTTATATCTTAGGGCATGCCATTCACAGTTTGTGTATGAGTCCGTACAATCATTAGAGTTGTCATTCAGGCTCATCTTCAGTCTTTTACTGGTCTTTGGAGATCTCCGGATCATTTAATTAGCGCTAGAATTATGGATCAGCATTGGCACTGAAAACATTTGAGTTTTTATGTCACGATACTAGAGCTCTTATACTCTTGTTGAAAATACACATTTTGCTAGGTTTTTAACATATTTTGTCACTCTATTTTTCTCTTATTAATGATAACAAAACAAAATTTAACTTCCAACATCCATACCAGTTTTTTGTACACGATGCTGCAGAAACATAAAATGAAATTCAGAAATTTCAACAACTGAAATTTAACTTTTTCAACTGTTGCTACAATTTATAACACAAACATAGGAAAACATGAGCTCAAGGAAATGTGAGGGTATAGTACTCTACTTGTAGTATAGCCTCAATTGAGTGTTTCCCACACGGAAAGTGCATTGAACCTGAAACTCAAGTTTGAAGGAGCCCAGTAAAAGAAAAGGGCAGACAAACTTTTCAGACACTGAGAGATAAATCAACTATTAAGGGGGACAACAGGATGAAAACTAAAAGAAGGGTTATGGATAGTTTATTGATTTATAAATTTTGATTTATTCATGATGTAATTTAAAGTTCTCGGGTGGATAATAGAACCTTAATTTTGACGCATGTACAATCTCAGTTGGTTTCTTCGTGTGAAAATTTTCCCTGTCGATTTCATAATTAACTTCAGATAATTTATTCATAATCTGATAAGGGCCTGAATAGGGTGAAGTCAATTTTCTAGTATTTGGGTATTCGAAATTCCTCGTAAAGGACAAAATCTCCAGGTTGAAATTTAGATTCTACAAATCTGATGTCATATCTAGTTTTATTCTTTCGGTGGTATTCGATAGTTCTTTTCTTTGCTAAAGCCCTTGCTTCATTTAAGGAAGGGTATTTATTTTGATCAATTGGAGATTCAAAAGGGAGGTTACCAAATAGTAAGTATGCTGGGGTGAACTTAGTTACCGTATGAGGGGAGTTGTTATATTCGATAACAACTTGCTCTAGCACTTTAGTCCATGGTACTTTTTTAGAAGAAGAATTTACTTTACATTTTAGTCGACTTACTATTGATTGATTTACTCTTTCTTTCTACTTTACCATTTGTCTGGGGATGGTGAGATGAAGTTAAAAGTTGTTTAACATTATGCTTTTTAAGAAATTTTTTGAATCTAGAGGAAGTGAAGGCTGCATTCCTGTCACTCAGAATTTTTTCGGGGACTTGTATTTGAAATATTTGTTTTAGACAATTGGCATAGGTTTCTGAAGTTACACTTTTAGAGGGAAAAGCCCAGACATATCTTGTTGCATGGTCAATAACTATATGCAAATATTTTTTTTTGTAGAATTATAATAATTAAATCCTCCCACAGTGTCAATAGAGAGACATTCGAAAGGTTTGTCGGTTGGGGGTACGTCTTGCATAAGTTTTTGACCAAATTTTTTCTGTTTTTTATTACAAGTCAATTTCCGATATCTTCGCTAATATGAGGCCAATAATATTGAGGGGTGATTAAGTTAAGCATAATTTGAACTCCCGGGTGACCAAAATTTTCATGGGTTTTATTCAACAATTTTAATCTTAAAGATTTAGGTACTACAATTTTATAAAAATTCTTTTTCTTAATTACCATCATATCATTTATCTCTTGGTAATTTTTTCCGCAGACATTATCAGTTTTTTGTTGTTGGATTATTTCATTTCTATCAAGTAAATGTACATAATGTTGGAGGTGCTGCTGTGAAACAGGATGTCTAGAAAGCATGTCAGCTTCAATATTGGTAGAGCCCTTCTGATACTTTACTTCATAATTGAACATACTTAGTTTGAGTGACCAACGGAAGAGTCTACCTTTTAAATTTTTAACATTTTTGAGCCAAACGAGGGCCGCATGGTCCGTATGTATAACAAATTTTTGTCCATGCAGATAGTAATAGAATTTGTCTAGGGCATCTACTATGGCCAAACATTCTAACTCAGTAATCGTATAATTTTTCTCATAATTTCTTAAAGTTCGGGAATGATATGATACAGGGTGAAGGACATCATTTTCATCTGGTTGTTTCAAAACAGCTCCAACAGCAGTTTGAGAAGCGTCAACAAAAATATGACATGGCCTACTGGAATCATACAATTGTAAAACAGGTTTGGAAATCAGTATTCTTTTCATTTCGTCGAAAGCTTTTTGACATTGGTCATCCCATTCCCACTTGACATCTTTTTTCAAGAGTCTGTTTAATGGAGCTCTAATAGTTGCATAATTCGGAATGAATCTATCTATGATACACATTCACACTTCCCAAAACTCTTTGTAACTCTTTGGTGTTACTGGGGTTTTTTAAGTTTCTTAATAACTTCTATATTATGGTTATCGGGAATTATTCTACCATTTTTTATTTCATAGCCAAGAAATGTGATCTGATCTCTGGCGAACACACATTTGTTTCGATTCAATTTAATATGCTCCTCTTTAAACACCTCAAATAAAATTTTTAAATGTTCTAAATGTTCCTTCTCAGAGGAAGAGTAAACGATTATATCATCAAAGTAACTGCAAGCGAAATTAATTTTATTTTTTGTTAATATTCGTCTAATTGTTCTGTTAAAAATTGCAGGAGCATTTTTGAAACCAAAAGGGAGTCTTAACCATTCGAATAATCCAAAATTCGTGCAAAAAGCTAATTTCTCAGTATCTGCAGGGTGAATCGGGATATGCCAGAAACCAGATCTCAAATCAATTGTAGAAAATACTTTTGCTTTACTTAATTTGTCTAACAAAGTGTCAATGCGAGGAAGAGGGTTTGCATCTGTTTTAGCCAGGGAATTCAATTTTTCGATAATCTATACACAATCTAGTTTTCTTACCTTCCCTCACGTTTAAGTACTAAAGTCACGGGGGACGAATATGGGCTACAACTTTCTTTAATTATACCTGCTTGTAATAATTGATCAATTTGGGTCTTAATTTCCTCTTCTTCCATAGGGGATGTTCTATAAGGTCTTAATGATACAGGCAAATCAGAATTTAAATTAATTCGTTGAGGTTCAATATTAATTTTTTTCCTACATCATACTTATTTTTAGAAAACACAGATGAATAATCATTTAACAATTTTTCATTTCCAAGTTATACTCTTTGTTATCGACAGTATTAGAAACAGCATTTTTCACATAAATGTTAGACTGAGAAACTAATTCCTTTGGATTTGTAGTCCGAGATTTACAGGTTGGAAAATTTCTTACATCATCATCATTATTAACACATGGATAAACATTTGTTGTACCACCTTGAAGTTGGAGGTGTAGAGATATGGGTCGGCTGTCAAAATGGCAGTCATCATTAAGTACAATAGCTCTCTGTTTTAATTTTTAAATTAGTACAATCAATACTCAACTCAAATAATTTGCATTCATAAAGTCCTAAAATTACATAATTCAAATTATTATCAAGAACAAACAAGGTAATTTGGTTACTAATCCGTCCAATTTTCATTTGTATACAACATATTTTGTTGAAGATTATTTTTCCTTTAGTTTGGGTTACTGAAAATGATCTAACTCTTTGTACTTTTAAACGTAATTGTCTAGCTGTTTTTGGAAGAA